AGGACGTGTGTGTGTGTGTGTGTGTGTGTGTGTGTGTGTGTGTGTGTGTGTGTAAGCCAGCCAGCAGCAGTGGCCCAGCCCTGTTCTTTAACAATCTGTTTTGTGAACCAATTCAGACCCAGGGGACCTGGTCCACTCCCTCAAGAGGTATTAGTCCATTTATGACCTTACCATTTCTCAAGAGTCCTCAGCCCAGAAAGTATCAGTCCATTCATGACCTTACCACTTCTCACGAGGCCTCAGCTCAGAAAGGTGCCCCCACCTCAATGCCACCACGGTGAGAATCAAATTTTCAGTGCATGTCCAGAACACTTGGGCCCCAAGCAAGGCTGGAGAAAGGGAACTGGCTGGGGTTGACTGTCTACCTTGGTGGTGTCCTTGGAAGCCAGCTGGTGCTCTTGGCTGCCCTCAGGCCTGTGACTTGTCTTTTACATCTCTTTGCTCTTCTGGCAGGTGATAATCCTGCTGTACCTGGCAGAAGTGATGGTTCGACTGACCTGGCACCAGGCCCTGGATCCTGACAACCACTGTATCCCATACCTCACAGGCCTGGGGGACCTGCTGGGCACCAGCCTCCTGGCACTTTGCTTCCTCCTGGACTGGCTAATGAGGGGCAGAGCTGATTTTGCAGATCTGGTTTCAGAGCTGGTTTCTGCACCTCCCTGACCGAGGCTGCCACCTGCAGGCCTCCGTGGGACTTTTCCCTCATGTCCACAGTGTCCAGCAGGCTATTCCTCCTGCTGGGGCCTCGAGCTGCTAGATATCTGCCTGGGCAGTGGCCTCATCAGTCTGCCAAGGAGACTAGCACACACCTTGATTCTGAAGTTGGTAGCTAAACCTGAGGTGGAGCCCTGACATCAAGAACTCTGCCTGTGAGTGTGAGTGTATGTGTGTGTAGGGCAGGCTGTTCCAACCTGAAGATGCTGAGGAAGAAGCCCGTCAGTGCAATCTGGAATGCATGGAGCAGGATGGAGCTCCTCTGTGTCCCTAGCTCTCGGGACTACCCATGCCCTGACTGTGCTGCCATCACTGGACTCAGCTCCCTGGACCCACACTACTAGTGCCCTGGGCCCAGTGACCGTGCACCTTCACCCAGGCAGGCCCTGCGTACCCCTCATCTATACCCCAGCATTTAATCTTGTGGCTGCTTTCTTTTTATCCCCCCTTCTTTTCATAGCAGAGCCCTCTATTTAGGTTCTGGTGATCAAGAGATGTATAATAAAGCATAGCTGACATTGCACTTGGTGTTCTGCATCCTTCAAGGTGGTCAGGGAAGCAGGGAGGCTCAGTCTCCAAGCTGTGGGTGACATTTCTCTAGGGCAGTGTTTCTCATGGTGTGAAATGCTGAGTGGACATGTCACCTGGAAACTTGTGTGTATAGGTACTGTTCAGGCAGCTTCTTGCCGGTTAGCAGACCTCAGCTAAGACTTCATGTTGGGGACTCACTGTTCACACTGTCCAAAATGTCATTTCCCCTTTTTGATTGTGTGTGTGTGTGTGTGTGTGTGTGTGTGTGTGTGTGTGTGTGTGTGTGTTGTGTAGGAGAGTATAATGTGATATATTGATTCATGTCATCTTTTTATGACTTGTTATTTCCTATATGTGTGTGTTTGCCTACATATGTGCAATACCCATAGAGACCAGAAGAGGGTGTCAGATAGATTCCCTGAAACGGAAGTTTATGAGTTACGTGCAGGTGCTGAGAACCAAGCTGGTGACTTAATCTCTGAGCCATCTCTCCAGGCCTCCTGTCATCTTGTTTATGAAGTGTGTTTACTCCATTTCCTAGCACCTAAGTCATGGGTAGATAAGGCATGTTTTCCCAGCAGATGTTACCATGGATCCTCTGTGCCACATGGTGTCCCAGGTAGACGTGATGCACAGTCTAGGAGTATGTGAGCAGCTCAAGGAATGGTGGGAATGTAGGAAGTTGCATTGGGGCTGAGCATGGGGGAGGCATTTCCGTCTGGTACTCACCTAACTTGGAGGAGAGCAGACCTTGGGATGGCAGTGAAATGAGTCATGATCTCTGCACAGACAAAGCTACCAACTGCTTAAGGGAAGGTGTCACAATGTGCCCTTTTCCAGCCTGTCTCCCATTGGCCAAGGCCTGGGTAGCAGGCTAATGACCCATGAGGTCTCTCTCCTTGTGGGTACAAAGCCAGGTGGTAGTGAGGATGGGTTGAAGGGGGTAGGTACTGAGGGCATAACTGTGGGCCGGGCCCCAGGCTACCTGGGCAAAGCACTGATCTCTGCCCTGGGGCTCAGATGGAGATACAGTCAGTACCAGGGAGATGGTGAACATTGGCTCTTAGCTGTGAAAGAAGCAGATGGAGCTATGGAATAATTGGTGACAAGAGCTGAGTTCCCACTGTACCTGCTGAGCATTGTCACTGACATATTAGGTTCCAGACTGAATTTTAAATCATAAGTAGGCTCAAACACATCTTTGTCTGGTGGAGGGCAAGTAAGTGAGGTAGACAAGGCCAAACACTGGAGCCTGGCTCGCTCAACTTTTGAAGAGTTGGTTGTGTGACAGGCAGTCAGATGTTGTGTGACAAGCAGTCCAGCTGCAGGTGGTGCTGTGTTCTGTGCCTCTCCTGGATTTACAGAGCACACATCTTAGGTGTAATGGTTTCACCAGACTGAGAAGGCTGTGTCCAGGTCAGACTGTCAGCAGAACCCAAACAGCAACTTCCCTTGGTGTGAATGAGACTTGGGAGGTCTCTTCTGGGTCTAGCCGGTTTTCCAGACCAGTGGTTCGACATGGGGGTTGCAACACCTTTGGGGTTGCATATCAGATATTCTGAGATATTTACATATGATTCATAGCTAGCAAAATAACAGTCATGAAGCAGTAATGAAATAATTTGATGGTTTGGTATCACCACAACATAAGGAACTGTATTAAAGGGTTGCAGCATTAGAAAGGTTGAGAACCACTGGTCTAGACACTCCATTTTCACTACATGCCATGGTCCAATTGAGAAATGGTCTTTTTGTTGTTGAAAGAATAAGAAAGTCTAAAACCATGATGAGTTTTAATGCTAGCAGCTCCTGAGGCATCCTCTTAGTGACCTTTCACAATTCCAGTTTGCCTCCAGTGCTGATTGACTCTTGAACAGCCTATACTGAATTCTTTGGTGACTTTTCCTGTAGTTGTAGGAGAATCTACTTTGATGGTTGCTCTGGCTTGGTCACCATCAACTCCCAATGTGGCCCAATCTTTGCTCCTCATTTTCAAGGCTCTCTCCTATCCCTGCAGAGCTGCTTGGCCACTGCACTGTGCTTTAGCAATTTCTGTGCCAAGGGCATTGGTGTTATAAATTGATCCTATTCTTATGATTCATTTTGAATTTGAATAAGAAAACTGCACACATTTGCTTTGTTTCTAACATCTCCATACCTAAAATAAATGTAAAATAAATTGTCTTAATTACTTTTAAATTGTTGTGCTAAGATACCATGACCAAAGCAACTTAAGAGTTTATTTGAAGCTTACAGTTTTAGTGAGTTAAAGTCCATAACCATCATGGCAGGTAGCATGGCAGCAAGCAGGCATGCATGGTGCTGGAGCAGTATATGACAGCATACATTTTGATCCAGAAGCAAGAGAAGGGGAGAAGTAACTGGGAATGGCATGGGCTTTTGAAAGGGCAAAACCCACCCCCCAGTGACACACCTCCTCCAACAAGGCCATGCCTCCCAGTCCTTCCCAAACACTTCCACCAACTGGCGACCAAGTGTTCAAATATATGAACCTATGGAGGCCATTCTGATTCAAACCACCACACAATAAGTCATGAGCAAAAAGGGAATGCATATTAAAATGTGTGACACAGCCACATTTATTAAGAATGTGTTCCAGAAGAAAACAGCAAATTCAACAAAGCAAAAGCCACGTTGCTATTGCACACACCTGACCCTCAGCATCTTCCGTGTGTCCACTGATAGCCTCGCCATGGTTTGCTGCACTGCAGCCTCTGACCTTCCGCCCTTGGCAAAGGAAAAGAGATGGACTTTGCGAGGCCTCTTTACCGTCCTAGGTCTATGGCTGCTGAGCAGGAGCTTCCAAAATTTTGAAAGATGCCCTCAGCCTCAGCCAAGCTCTGTGGGTAGTGGAAGGGTGAGTGAGGAGAAGCTGCTGTTAAAGGAGGAGCAGGAGGTAGGGTATCTGGGTATCACCTGAGGAGGAGAGGTGATCATAGGTAAACTGGGGTGTGGGGCCACAGGGCAGCCTGAGCACCTCCAGTACTTTGTACCTGAGTACTTAGCCAGGGTAGATCTGCAGCAGAGGTAGAAAGGGGGACACAGAAAGTTACGGGTGCCCAAGAGATTTTCTCAGAGAGCTGGGAGGCTGTGGGAAGGGTTGCCATCAGTGCCTAGTGTTACTGGGATTGAAAGACCCGGCTTCTTCAAGGTGTCTACTGACTTCGGGAACTGGGGTCTTGGGTGAGGAGTGCAGAGGCAAGTGGGAGGGGTGGGGGAAGAGCCATGAGCTGGACCTTAGGGGACATGGAGCAGCAGGTAGCAAGCCGATCTTCCAGAAGACAGCAGGAGAAGAGGACATGACTGAATCAAGACCATGAGACCCTGTCCCCTTCTGGACCAGTGTTCCACCCAACCGGAGCTGAGTTGGGACACACATGGGGAAACACCCCCGGAGACTCAGCTGCAGTTTCTACCCCATGCTGTGTTTGCTCATGATCTTTGTTTGCAAGGTCAGATGTTTTCCCCATTGAGACAAAAGTCTCTACTTGGTAAAGTTAAAAAGGGCAGGGGGCAGGGAAAAGGCTCAGTGGATAAAGGTGCTTGCAAGCCTGACAACCTGCGTTCATTCTTTAGACTCATAAGACAGGAGAGAACTAACTCCCACAAGTTCTCTGACCTACGCATATGCACTGTACTCCCTATAAATAAATAAACGCACACATTTTAAAAAATAATTTTTAAAGGCAGGAGATAAAGCTCAGGGTAGAGTGCTTGCTTAGTATGTGTGAAATGTTAAGATTCCAGCCCCAGTTCTGCTAAAATAAAGCCCGTAGCCAAGTTTCTTGTAGGCAGGACAGCTGAATCCACCTTGTTAATTCCTCTCTCTGCCCCAGCCTGACTTTTGATTATTAGCATGTGGTTATTCTGCTGTGGCTTTTTGTTTAGGTAAAATTCATCTTCCAGGTCTTGGTCAGTGTGCTGGCTAGTTTAATATCAACTAGACACAAGCTAGAGTCACATGGGATGAGGGAACCTCAATTGAGAAAACGCTGCACCAAGATTTGCCTGTGGTGCATTTTCTTGATTGATAATTGATGTGGGAGGGCCCAGCTCACCGTGGGAGGGGCCATTGCTTGGCTGGTGGTCCTAGGTGTTATAAGAAAGCAGGCTCAATAGGCCAGGAGGGGCAAGCCAGTAAGTAAGCAACAGAAATCCTAAGACAGACATTGGTACCAGGTCATGGGGTATTGCTGTGACAGACCTGACCATGTGGATTTTTTGGTGCACTTTGGTGGCATTTGAACTCTGGGCTGGAAAAGCTGTTGAGAGCTCACTGGGATCTTCTGTGGCAGCTTAGAAGACAAGTATGTTGAGGGCAGGGCACATGACAGAAGCCTGGCTTGTGAGGAGGCTTCAGGGGGGAGTTTGTTTTTCAAAGACGTTATCATGTGATTTTCTTAAATTAAGAATTTGAAGTTCTGGTTGTCTGGGGCTGAAGACCGTGATTAATAAGCCATCGCTACTAAAATGAAACTTTCGCTTCACTGGAACAATTGATACCCGTCAGCTGGGGCTGAAGAATCTGCTGTGATTACGACGAGACCAACATCACTGAGGACTCTAAATCCGGGAGTATTTCTTCAGTGTCGGTCAGCACACAGAAGCTGTGGTCCAGAGGGGGCCAAGGCTGCCTTGTATGGGTGACGTGTAGGAATTTCCCAGGTGGTACTGATTCCAAAGGCACGAAGGAGTCATGGAGAGCAGCTGGGGCTTGGCATCGTGAGAGGCTGGGGGAGGCCACAGGTAAAGGTACAGCCTCAGTAGCAGTGAAAACCCCAGGACTGAAAGGGTCATGGAGACAGGCCAAGGCTTGGCCTCTTGTGGCAGGGCCAGTCTCTGAAGACAGCCCAGAATAGGTTACTGGTAAAGGTAAAGCCAAGTTGTAGCGGGGGCCTAAGAATTTTGAGATGCCAGAACTGTGAAACAACTGCTTCGGACAGCAGCAGCTGTGGAGTGGAGCTGGCCTGG